TTTTGAGGCACCAATCATTACGGAGTGTGGTGATGGAAGGATTTCCTTCTATAGGAAAGCTCAAAAGCTAAAATTTTCAGATACACGAATAGTGATTGTCTTTCAGAGACGGCTGTGGTGGTTCCCAGTCCGTCAAATCGGCAGTCTTTTGCTACAGATTGGTTTTCTCACACAGCGAACTTTTCTCATCTCAAAATGGGTTTTGGGGCTGTTGAATTATTATTTAAAAATATTGTCTGGCTTTCGGAGTACCTCTTTAATCAATTCTTCTTTGCCGATGTTCTGAGGATGAGAAATCCCAGTAGTGTATCTTCGTCGTCCTGTGCAGTAAAGTAATGTATGTGTGTTCGCCTGAGGGGGTCTGGAAAAGAACTGCTGCGGACATTTATTACTTCTACTGTCCACCAAGACCACCATACGTAGGCCACTGCTTGTGATTTCATGCATTTAGCTTTCCTAACAGGTTGTTATTCGAATCAATACACTCGTCTGTCAGTCCGGCCCCTATTCTTCATCCATTCACTTATAGGCATTGATTCATTCATTAATCATCCTACCCATTTAGGATCTCTAGCATATATTTACACAACAGTGCATCTTTCATTTACTCCAAATCAAGTTCAGAGATCACTTATTCCCTCTAGAGATCCATTTTAGACCGAACAGTTTTAGCATAATTATCAGTGAAAATGCAAAAATAAAATTACATGGAAAGTAGGTATGCTGAATTTTAGTTGCATTTATTCACTTTTGGTAGCAAAGCCTGTGTTAATGTTAGGTGACCTCGCCCACATCCTGGATAGGAAAGTAGAATGCTTCCAGTCTTAAGATGAATTTGACTTGGACACTAAACAACCCAATCAGCAAACAGTGGAGGTCTGATCTCAGCTCGGATGCACTCTACTGAAATGTGTTTCGGTTCTGAGTTTGACTCTCCCTAAAGGATTTATTCACTCCGGCAGGAGTCTGTTCAGCAGTCTCGGTTTCACTAATCGCTCTGGCCGGTAGTGCGCAAATTCGAGAACACACCCACCAGCTTCCTATTCATCGCCTCTTGATCCCCATCCCAAACAAATTATAGCAACACAAGAACATTGACAATTTCAGCAGCAAAGGAGAGAACCTCTCGATTGAGTGGTATTGACCAGTCTCCTGCTGCCCATATTAATTTACCCACAATCTTGAGAGTGACGAGGTTATGCATTAGGCAATGGAGCATCATTTGAGAAAAGCAGTATTTACAGTGCTTTGTTCTGAGTGCTAGCTCATGTTTTTGGCCATCGTGGCTGTAAGACAAGGTCAACCAAACGAAGTGGTGCAGTCTAGTTGCCCGCGACATGAAACTAATATGCCTCTCTATGGACGAATTCGATCGCAGGACAGAAGTAGCTCAAATTCAGCTGCTTCTACCTTACTTTTCCACGAAGAGTTCAAGGCGCTTTCAACTTGCGCCTCTCCAGACCAGCATGGTGCGTTAAACGATGAAAGCACTCCATCAACTAATGGACGTATTCAAACCCAACAAAGCACATTCATCAGCTCACAAAAGCAAAGCGTAAAATAGTCCAACTTGGACAAAATTTGCAAGTGGTGGGCCAAATATGAGAGGCTGAGGTGGCAATTTATTGATAAAGTGGTCGCTCCGGTATGTCAAGGGAAGACTTCACTGCTAACATCAGACGAACATTTATAATCTCACCGAAGGTTGTTTAAACACGATAATGACTCAGTTTCCCCGCAAACCCATTCTCCCATTCATCACTCAGATATGAGACTATGAGGAAAACAGTCGACTTCAAATGGCCTTAGCAGGTAAGCAAATTTGCCACAGGAGTAGTTGGCGTGTCGACTCAGTGATGGGCGTTAGGTAATGAAGAAAAGCCCTTTGATATGTTCTATTCATTGGAGTGTACTCGTCGTCGTATCAAAATTGATGCCCAAATTTTGTTTAGACCTATTTTTTTTCATTCTACAATCAAGTGTTGGCAGACAAGTGAGTGATGGAGCCTAGAATTTGTCATTAGCATCAAGCAAAGTGTTGCCTGGTCCTGGGACCATTGTGTGAGTAAAGCAAAGAAGGTAATTTACAAATCGGAGAGAGGCAAGAGAAATTGTTGGAATGCATTTGAAAAACATGATTTTAATCTCGATATCGCTAGTTGGATCAACTTTGATCACGGAACTCACCTGGTCATTCGACAGACCGAGAAGGCAGCACCTCTAATAAAGTTAAACATCCCTAGAACGCCTATTATCATGGCACGTGCAACAATAAAAAGGCAGAATTTACGTCTCTTACAGCTCGAACATTTGGCCCAGCACTTGCGAATTGTGCACAAAGCGGACTCTTATCCTTTTCTTCTATGTGCCTAGATGTATGCTATCTTGGACATTAATATACGTTTAATGGTTGATAAGGTGCTTTTGATCTTTAATGGATAGGGACTATGTGTTGAGAATCAGAAAGGATTTTGCGAATGACTAATGCACCTTTGCCATAGCTACGGGCCACAAATTCGAGAGACGATTCCTTTCTGCAGCTTTGCTTTGTGGGCAGTAATGACACAAGACACCGGGGAAGCATTAACATCATCTAACTGACTGTTCAACACACCTTCTACATATACATGTGGTTACCTACCTATGCAAATGACAATCATTGTAGGCGTATTTTCACCTAGGGTTGTATCAACGTTTAAGTTGGTGTATTTATTTATTCAACCAATTTGCAGACGTTAAACTTGAGCTCCTTGGCCACCTGACTGCACGTTTTCTGTTTGTCTATGTGTAATTTCCAAGT